ATGCAGGCTGCCATGTTGGCGCCTGGAATTCTGGGCGCTGGTGTCGCGGCATTGTCGCAAGATGGCGAGCCACGGTCTATGGTTATGGGGCATCCGTCCTTACTTCAACAAGGTCAGTTCCCTATAAATGGAATAAATGGTGTTGGAAGTTTGATGCAGTCGCACATGCAAACGCTCGGCCACACTGTAGGTATGGGCCCGTTGTCTCAGAACGTGGGCGGATCGAACTTGCCTAATTTGAGCAGCGGGGTGAGCTCGTTGAATCGGGCCAAAGAACCGTGGAATCAGAACGAGCAGAGCAGATTGGATCAAGTCAGATTCCCCGGCAGGTCGGGCCAGTTTGGGGCTGATATATACGGTTCGAATGGTTCTGTGAATTACAGGCCGGGAATCAGACCGAACAATCCGTTTTTGAGCAAGGTGCAAGAATTGGAGGGTCGCCGCAATCCACACGCCTTCCAAACGAACAGTTCACAATTCAACTTCGACAATGACAGGCCAGGGAATCGTAGCTCGACCAACAGATTCTCGAACGAGAACAAGAACAATAGTGGAAGTGGACACTGCGTTGAGGTTCGTAACATGCCTTTAAGCGCCACTTATAACGATGTCCGTCACGCGTTTCAAGGTATCTATATAAGGAAAGATGGGCTCAAGTTGATCAACGATAATCACGGAAATCGCGTTGGTATCGCTTACGTTAAGTTCAGCAAGGCCGAGGGTAAGGAACTGGCGTTGAGCACGACCAGATTCGTGAGAGGATCGGAGGTGGAAGTTTTGCATCTCGATGAAAGTATCTTCGACAAAGCTGTGGATTCGTATTCTCCTGAAAAGGAAAGAGATCGGGGAGAAGATGGAATAGACGATGTCAGATCCTCTGCCTGTATCTTATTAACTGATCTGCCGTCCTTTACCAAAGAAATGGATATTGCCAAATTGTTCCACGATTGGAAAATCAATGACCTGTTCATCACTAGTACCAAGGAATCTGGAAGTATCCAATGCATGGCCTACGTGCAATTTGCAAGAATAGAGGATGCGAAAGCGTCGGTGAATACGTCCTTGAAAATTGGCAATAAACCCGTGACCGCGACAGCGATCACCGAGGAAAAATTTGCTCAAGCGAAACGTGATCACGAGCAGAATAGTATGAATCAAACGGCCAGTTCGGATTGCGTTATAATGCGGGGTCTCCCATTCCAGACGATCGACCGTGATATCTTGGACTTCTTCTCCGACATTGGAATCGTACCCCATCGAATACACATGTTACATCAGAATGGGAAGCCCGCGGGTGAATGTTTCTGTGAATTCGACACGGCAGACGAAGCTCTCAGAGCTACTGCCAAAAATGGTTTACCTTTTGGGAAGAACGTCCCTACCATAGAGCTGGTTCCACGGGCGAAAATGTTGGAAACACTAGGAATGGTGGATCCACAGATAATGGAAACGCAACAGCAACATTTCCCACCGCTTCAGGAGCAGAGGCCACGATTTTCCGGCCCTATGAATCATTTGCCTCGCTTTGGTAATTCCGGTTTCGGACCTAGATGCCCTCCAGGCTTAATGGGTATACCTAGACACATGTTAGGTCGACATCCAGGTTCCATGGATTACGTAGTAGAGGGTTTTGGTAAACCTGGTTGCGTATTGTCCTTGGAAAATGTCCCTTTCAAAGCTGACATTAACGAGATCATCGAGTTCTTTGGCGACTTTGATGTGAAAAGGGAGAACGTGATACGTCGGTATAATGAAAGAGGTATGCCTACAGGCGATGCCAGAGTGGCTTTCGCGTCGCCTAGCGAGGCACAAAGGGCATTAAGGGAGTTGAAGCACTGCAAGATGAGAGACCGCACGATATACATGAAACTTGCGTGAACACTTCCGTCTTAAATGTCGCTAAGTCAATTGCACAATTTCTAAAGGGGGTTTAGGGTTGAAAGAAACTCTAGAGAAGAGTCAGTCTTTGAAAGAATGAAAAAAACAATGATATATCTAAAGAACGAATCAAAGAACGAATCGATGATATTTGTCGATTATTTGATACATATGGGAACAATATAAATATATATACGATGAATGATTAAACCAATGGAGGGAAAGTTATATACAACATTATAGAGAAAGAAATGTTTTCATTTTATAAATGGTGTATTATAATCTTTTAAAGATAGTTTAATTTTTTGTTAACTTTTTCATTCATCTGCGATCTTCTTCTATCCATTCTTATATTTTTGTATATAGAAGACTGATGTCTTTGATATGTATTGTTCTTCTGAAATCATTAATATTGATTTAGCTATGTTAAGTAAGGTTTAATTTACAAATAATAGGACAAATAATTAAAGCGAAAGTTTGAGATTTAAAATATTTCAATAATTAATGACAGTAAAGACAAATTTCATTCTCGAGTAAAATTCTCTCTCGAGATAAGAATAAAGATGAAAATATTCTTTTTCTTGTTATTACAATTTAATTTGTAATTTGTATTGAATGTCTAGTTTCTTTTTCACTGTATTAAAGTTTGGGTAAGATCATCTTATATATTATTAAACAAAACAACAATTGTTGTTGTATTGTCATATCCACTAAGAGTTAAGCTTTGTAAATATGTAAGCCATCATTCACTTTAAAATCATCACGTTATGTTCTAAATATTTTCTTTGGCACGTAACGTTAATGCCTAGTATACATGCTTTCGTTTATATGATTATTATAGATTATTATTCTAAACAAAACGCAATAAAAAGTACAATAAAAGACTTATTCGACGAAAGATACTATTGAGCAATTCTTATCTTTTAAATTGATTACAAATAAAACAAATAATAATAATAATAATAATAATAATAGTAATAATAATAATTCATGCTCACAGTTGTCATAATTTTGAAAGGGGAAAGGCTTTCATACATGTATAGAAAAAATACACAATGTTCATTGTTGTTACGAATTTCAATGATACGTAAGTGTACACATAAAACGCAAAAAAAGAAGTACAAAATTCGAATATCAAGAATTTGCTTTGTATGAGATATAAAATGTCTTTAAAAAAAATGTCTTTAAAAAAAAAAAAAAATTTCGTGAAGAATAATTTGTATTTTCTACAATCAATTGTATATGTATATTTACATATACGGCATTATATCGGATTTGTATATAAATTATACATAGACATATACAATATATCATAAATAAAATCGTACACAATTTACATAGGTGTAAAATAATATTTATACGGCGAATTTATTGACAAGATATAGGTGTACTTAAATTGTTCAGTTTGCCGTATGTTTTTGTTCAATCTAAGCACTGTAAGACTTCAATAAATTTATATTTACAGCGATAATATGGCTTTGCTTTTAATTTCATTTTATTTTCCTATCATTTCCCTATTTTATTTACATATAAATGAATAATGTATATTTTATAATTAATAAATGAAACCATAAAATAATATACATAAAAGAAAAAACTTATAAATAATTCTTATTACTGCTGATTAGAAAGAAATATTTTCTACTTCGTTCCAACATTATATATAACTCTGTGATTCTTTTCTCTAGTCAGAGAGTTGGCAGCAGAATTGCTAGAGAGAATTCTAGGCAGAATCTGATGTTAAATTATATTTTGGGAATAAGATAACAAACTAAGAGAATCAGAATTGCCAAATACCAGGCAAAATGGCTGTTAAATATCAGTAACAAGATCTGCTTATAGAGATATAATGCTTCATTATGTGGAGTTATGACGCGACTTCTCCAATATTATTCTACTTTTACTCATTTTTTTCAGATTAACGAAAATAAGAAGAAATTGTTTTTTTATACTGTCATTCACTGCAATCATTTTATCCTAGTTGATTACTACTGATTGAATTTGTGTACCGCTTTAACCGCTTTTAACTTTGGATTGAGACCAAGATTATTATTTTGAGGAAAATCAGGAAACAGATTAATATAGCCAGACAATTGATTTATATCATAAATATAAATAGAAGAGACAAAAAATAAGAATAATATAATGTTATTTTCTTAGAAGGAATTTTTGTGGCAATGCTGAGCAAGATTGCCAACTAACTGAATCTTTATTTTCTCATTTAGTTTCTTTCTCCTATTCTAGAGTAATTTAAAGAAAATAGAAAATTTTTTCTAAAGTAAAAAGAGAATGAGTATATAAGTGAAGCAATGATGCAGTTTAATATCATTCTCTCTAGATAGGATTGGGAATCGTGTTCTTTATACTGCTACTTTGTAATGTCACTGATAGCCATTTTTTGATCCCGTTATTTGGTAACTCTGACTCTAAAGTAAGTATATTTAGAATGAAACCTACATTTTTAAACATAAACTTCCTTATTTTAGTGCTAAAACAGAAGCAAGTTACATATTCTGGCAATTTTGATCAAAAGTCATAATGTGTAGAATTTTATATATTTAATGCTCATATATCCTAAGATATTCAAACAATGAAAATGAAAGAATATTACTTATTAATGAAATTAATTTGAAATTGTAAAATTTCAAAACTAGAGATTGTAAATTCGAAAGAATTAACAAAAATCAGTCTAAAATTGTTATCTATTAAATACCAGCAAATTTGAGGATTTCGAGCTAAGAATTCTTATAAATTGTGATTTGGAAATTTTTTAGATCCGAGTTTTTAATTCAAAAATCTTTAGTCTGAAAAGATTTTGCATCTCTTTGGACCTGATTTTAGAATTTTAAGATTTTTCGGATTAATGAATGTTTTATAGAAATCGTGTAAACTATATTTATCAAATAGATCATCGATTTTTGACCACAAGAAATATATTTCCGTATGGTTCGTATTAAATGTGCTGTCTAAATATTGAGTCATAAGCTATTTCTGTAACTATTCTCTTCGCCTGGACTTGTAGTGCAAAGTATTCACTTACATTCATATGTATTCGTCACAAGAAGTGTATATACTGACATTAGATATACATAAATGATTTAACGTGATTTAACTAATCGGATTATATCTGATTGCGATTTAAAGAATAAGTGTACAAGGAAAATGAAAAATAATCGATTAAAATCTCTTTTCTTGATCGATATCTTCTCTTTCTTTAATTATCTTTTTATAAATTAACATAGTAATAAAGATTTACTTGATTTTTAAAATTTTATGTTTCTTACTTATACTTTCTGAAAACAGAATTTTCAAATAAACTTACTTTCTTTTCCTACTAATGTTTTTTAACGTTTCTCTTCCTTGTATCTAAAATCAATTCATTTATTCGTTATTATACGTGTTTTTATCAAAATATCGAGGAACAATGCTTTTTAAAAAAACCGTTTATTTATCCGGAATCAAATGTGATTCGGGATTTTTATCACGTTCACACCTTTGGCTCGTTCTATAAGACGATCTAAGTATCTTTATGTAACGTTGATTCGATGTCAATCACAATGGTTTGGCGTCAGACAATGTTATATCAGCAGCTTGAAAAGATCTGAAAGATTATGTTATGTAAAAAATAATAATAAGAATAATACATTAATATTTAATTGGTAAGACATATTTTTCATTTTTTTACTTAAATTTTATTATTACATTTGCATGATAAATTTGTAAGATTTTTATTACGTGTCTTAATCTATATTTTTGAATAAAACTATAAAGATAACATAATGTCAAAATGCGCCGTAGTTTAACTAGATTTATGAATTTATACAAAGGAGAAATAGAATCTTGTAATGGAATCTTGACTCGATCCTTTGCTTTTATTAAGGCATTTATTGAACCGTTAATGGTAGTTTATGGGGTGTATTTCGCGGTAGAGAAGAAATTTTCATCTTCTCATTGCTTATATAAATTGATGGAATGAATTATATTCATTATTGTATATATATGTTTATTGTAATACGTTCCAGAATAATCTTTATAAGGAATATCATTTATTGATTTAATCACGCGTGAAATAATTATTTGTTATCAATGTTACATTGGATGCAATTTTTAATTTATTTTTTTTTGTTAACAAAACGATGTAAATAATTTTTTTTAAATTTTTTTTATATTTATTAATGCTAATTAATTTTGATGTATAAATGTGTTTTCAATATTAATAATATTTTAAGTATCTAAAAATAATTTTTTTATATTATTTTGAATAGTTTTTCTTCTTATTAATTTAGTTTTTATTAAAAATTTTATTCCTTTTTCGAAAATGTAACAAAGATATACTTTGTATTTTTAATATTAAATTCATTTTCATTATTCTCAATATTTAAGAATGCAATGCATGATATGCAATCCAATTTTCAATAACCAAAGATCAATATTAGAATTAAACATACCCTTGAATTAATGATAAAAATTGTATATTCAAAATTTTGTATAAACAAAAATTTATTATCTATCAATATTAATTAACATTACCAAATGTTCGAATTCACCATTAATTTCCATCATAATTACACGATGGAAAGAGGAACTAAGCTATTAACCTTGTTCGATTTACAATATACACAGGAAACCTAAATTTAACGTTTCCGAAACGCATTCGATCAACTAAATCATATTGTTCGTGTCATGAATTACACTGACTATATATCACTTATACTTGAATTAACGTTATTGTCGCGATATATAAGTTTATATTGATAGAGATAGAGCAAGTGTGATAGTGAATGACATCAACTTTAATTTAAGATAACAATAGAGATTCCGTAATGGAATATACGACACTGAACATAATTTTTACTTACCCACGATCAAATTAATTCATTTGTGTATACCATTGTATTAACTAGATAGCGTTTTAATTTCGTTTTATATCGTGTGATGCTCGTTATCGAAAAAGAAGATACACAAAAATAATTTCGAGATAAACGATTGGCTCGATGTGTTCGATAACTGGTGTCTTCCTTTTTGTGATTGGTCGAGGACATGCTGAAATAGAAACTGCAAACAAAGAACGGAAGTCTCAGCCGTGACGGATGAATCTGTTCTGCCGCCTAAAAACAGACCTTTATAGGAGATGAAAATTTGTTAAATTTTAAATTTATTTCTATTCTTAAAAGTTTACTATAAAATACTATATTATTTGAAAATTCTTTTAAAAAATTGAATCTTATCTCTTTGTTCAAACGTATTATGTAATTCTTCTAAGACATTTTTATTATATTATTATTTAATTTATAATTAAAGTCAGAATGATTATTAATATATTTGATTATATTTTATTAAGATTTATTATTTTATTAAATTGTAAAATAAATTGTAAAGTTTTTATTATAGTTTTAAAAATTGGAAAAATTTATAATATCAGATATTTTTTTCATATTTACTTTTATAATCTTTTTTAAATCTTTATAAATATGTAAAGTATATGAATAAGAACAACAACTTGGAATCAGTGATCATTTCCAAGAATATCTCTATAAATAATCATGCTGTTTAAGATTATTAATGAGAGAAACACAATTGTATACTGTTATAACAGTTTGAACAACCTACAATCGATTACGAAAATACTGATTCGATTAAACAAATAAAAGCATATGGGTTTCGCTCGAGTAAATATGATTTATCAAAACCACCATGATTATTATTTACAATGAGGCTATTGTCGAGCAAGTTACACAATAACATATTTGCATTGCATAAGTAACAAATCAATTTATTTTACCTTTTTATTTTACCTTTCACGTAGACTCGCTCCACTAAAGAAAGAATTTGTTTAATTTCTCATTGCAATGCGATCAACATTTGCACGATTCTCTTAAGATTATTCATGCGTTCATTCGAACAAACATGATTCATTCGTTCATGAATCTTCTTTTATTACATTAAGAACAGTTAGGCTTGGTCGAGAAAAGCGAAGATCGAAGATAAGAAAGGGTACGATATCATCCTAATGCAAATTTAATTCAATAAATATAGCGTTGACGTTCAATAAAGCGAAATTAAATTTTCGAATAAGAAATTTTTAATTTTATTGCATGAATGTACATTCCTTTAATTAAATGGCAAAACCTAATATATCATGTTTTTCTAAATGTAACATAAATCAAATTATCCAAGCACATTTTTTTGAGAATTTTATTTAACATATATATTTTCTTAAATTGATTTCTAATTTTTAATATTAAATTTTTATTTAATATTTTAATTAAATATAATTTATAAAAAATTATTTAAAAATAAGTAGACAAATGGTGTTTAATTTTTAAATATATCAATAAAAGAAGCAAGAATAAGTATCGAAAGTTGTGCATTTTCTGGAATCCGGTTGCATCAGTACCCTTTACAGAAAAAGCATCTTCCAAGGAGTGTACAAAAACACGATATCTCCATGTGGATTCCATATACGTCTCGAGGACAAAAAGAGATCGCTGATGTAAGGCGAAGGTCGGCATTGGATCGTGTATATTCTACAAAAATTTTCTTTCCATTCCAAAAAAATTGACAATATCTTAAATATCCATAACATTTTTATTATTTATAGAGATATAGATTTTATTTAAAATGAAAGAAAAAACTAAAAGAGAAAAAATAAAAATAAAAGTATGAAGAAAAATAAAATTATTTATACAAGATGTTATTATATTTTTTGGAAAATTGATTCTAGAGATCAAAATAAACACAAAAGTTGTTATATAAAAATCGATTAAGTTGTCGATTAAGTCTTATTTATTAAATATAAGCAATTGAAATTTGAACGCGTTGAACAAAAACAGAAATAGAATGTGATCTATTCCTATCTCGCTTCATCTAATACAAACTTGTTTATAATTTTTATAATAAATAAGATTTAATCAACATTTTTATATATAACAACATTTTATATATAAACTTTTGTTGGTTTTGACTTCTAGAATGTCTTAAAGAAAAATGAAATTTGTTTGAAAAACATGTTTTTAAGTACATAAATTTTAATTTATATAAATATCAAATATGTATATAAATTTTTATTTAAAAAAAAATGTGACATAAAAGATAATTATTAAATAATAGAAGATAATAATAATTAATAGGAAAATTAATAAATGAAAATGCTACTTTAAAAATGCATCATGTTATTAATTCAATTATCTATAGAAATAAAATAATAAAGAAAGAAATATAATTGACATATAAAAAAATAGAATTTTAAAAGATAATCGAAAATAACTATTTTATTAAATATATTTTCCGTGGCAATAATAGCAAAAAATGTTTGACGTATTCAATAATGTAGAATTAAAATTCTATTTCATTTAATTATCCAAGGAATAGAAATTAAGTCTGGTTGAATTTTTTAATTAGAATTAATAAATATTCCATTCGGATGAATATGTATACTCAGTTTTCTTGTGTATTAAAATCTCTCTCAAATCATGATTTAATCCATGAAACCGGTGTTATTAATAGAATCTTGAAGAAAAGGACCAGACATCGTATGAAACACCGAATATCTCATTAATCTACGAAGCACATTACAGATTTGTTTTATACTGCAAAGAACGAATAACAAATGAAAACGTTCATTTATTGCAATGTATTAAATTAAAAAAATTACAAAAATAATTCTGTTAATTGGTAAAAAATAAAATATATAAATTCATAATTTGAATTATCAACAATTTGGGCATAACAAAATATTTATGTATGAAAAAATATTCTGTTTTAAATGCAATATTGTATTTACATTCAGAATGCATCACGCTATATTTACATTTGCAAAAACTAACATTGACGTAACTGAAATTTAACTGAACTATTGACAAAACTACTGACGTAAGTCAATAAAGTATTTTTGATCAATACAATTTCTATCTTCGTTTTTGTAAACGATACCTTAAAATGTCAATCAATATGTACACTATCCATCAAGTCCAATCAGAGAAGATAAACAAATCGAATTGATTGCTAAAATTACTGATGAATTATGATTTAAACTTATTCCTTAAAACTATAATCAGTTAAAATAATAAATGAAACACTTACTTCATTTGATTCAATAGATGTATTTATATTTGCTTATATATATGATTTACTCATTTGAGTACCTGATATTTATTTGTTATTACTCATTTCAATATCCGATATTTACTTACATGATTTGTTCATTTGAGAGATTAATCTAGGAAAATACAATATGTACTTTTTAATTCTTAGGATCTCAAATTTTTATTTGATTTAATCTCTATCTGATTTAATTTAATCTATCTAAAAACTCAATGATCATTAAAATTATTAAAAGGAGAATTTTTTTTAAAATTATTCTAGATATATCAAGAATATTTAAATAATTTAATATAAAAAAAAATTTCAACAAAAAAATTATTGTAAAAATATTCAATTTCTTGAGAATTATTTCGTTGTGTATACAAGAAAAAAATCTATATCCAATTATAAGAATTTTAATATTTTAAAATTACGAACTCAATCTTACAATATTTTTTTTAAACTTTCATTTATGATTAATTATTTTATTTATCTTTTATAAAGTCGACTCATTAAACATATATATAATGTATGCAATGTGTAAAATATATGAAAATCAAATACTTTAATCATAATGATTTTAATTATAATCTATTCGAGTCTTAAACTTCATTTATTTTATTCTATCTTCGTTATTAGATTTAAAATAATACAAAATTATTCTACAATGTAGATATAACCAGTTTGTTTGTGATTTTTTATTGAATATACGTAAATAAGAAAACCTATTCTCCTTGAGAATTTCTCGTTGTGAAAGTATATGCATAATTCCAAAAAATCAAATGGAACATCGTACGTAGTATAGATTTCGAAACGGTTAGATTACAATCATTGATGTGATGAAGAAAAGAAAGAAAAAAATGATTCTGTTTTAAGCAAACGGTATTACCGATTATCGAGCATCACAGGGTTGTTATTCAGCATTGGTTATTCTTTTGCATCATTAGTTATAACCAAGAATCTTATGATATAGATATGATCAGATTATGGAAAGAAAATGCTAGTCATTACCAAATTCGAAACGAATTAAAAAATAAGAAATATAATTTTGTCTTGACAAAATAATATGTAAATTATTCTATTCACTTTTTTTTTGATAATGTTATTATATAACCTTTACGTACTTTTTCCATTCATATCATCTTATCAAACATGGAAGTCGATGATTTATAAAGACACCCTATAGAGAAAAAATTATTATTCCAGTTATTACTAATCGAGTTGGTATTCAATAAGAAATATCAACGATACAAGAATAAGAATCAATAATAGAATTTTGACTATCTTTACTGCCGATCATGATATCGAAGAGATTGATATTAATATGAATGTATCCAGCATGACGTGTTTATCTACGATGATTTCATTGAGTCCTATTAAAAAGATCAATCCACATCAGATTCAGCTACCATTATTGATATCAGTATTAATCATTGTTAGATCGTTTTGATATAATGACTATAAAAATGATAATCATTAAAATCTATGTTTTTTTTAATAGAAATTTATTGAATATATATCTTTGTTGAGGCAATTAAAGTTATTTCAACAAAACTAAATGTCATAAAATTGATTTAGTAAAACTGTGTGACACTATCAATTGAGAAATAGGCGTTTTTGTATGATCATATTTTATATTATATATATTTCTAATTAATCAAAATTATTATAGTCCATGGAGATACATTTTGATCCGGTCAAAAATGTCCATCTTTTTTATTTTCATTAATTGAAATTTATTAAACTTGAAAGTACAATGATTGAATTGATTTGAAAGTAATCCACATTAATAAATCTAAATTTATCTCTATAATTTCTTTTTTTTTTTTTATTTAATCATTATCAATCTCTAAATTATTTAATAAATAAAAAATTTTTCTAAGAAGATTCAGTTATATAAAAAAATTATATATTATTGAAATTTCATAGATTTTGATTCTCTATCTTTTAAGTTTCAAGATTTCTCTTAAACGAATCTATGGTGATTTTCCTCGATTGAACGTTTCGTAACAAATCAATGCTATGGATAAAAATTTTATAACACTTTCTCTCCTTCAGTGTAATCACTACAGTATAATAATGTGATATGATTATACAATCATACGTTTCTTATCTTCGGTATCGTATTGAACAATCGTGTCTTATCTTTCTCACTTTATATATATACTCTTATATTTAGCTTTATCATTGCTCGTTGTACAAATTTATATTTTTTCATTCAATAAGATAATACTGGCATATATCGTAGGTGGTTATCGCGTTTTAAATTTATATAATTTGCTTCTTGTTCTGAAAACAATAAAATATTAATTTATCAAAGTGCAATAAATTAAAGGATTATTACAATCATTTTTAATCAAAAACAAATTCTATTTTCGATATAATTGTTACAACAATTCAAAATCTGTACGATTTCGTAACTTCAATTTACTATAATTGTAATCATAATATTTTTTTATAATTATGATTCTTATATTCAATTTAAAAATATATATGAATATATATGTTTATAAAAATATATATTAAATATATATTTTTAATTTAAAATATTATTTGGCAAATTATTTTATTTTATTTTTTATTTTTTTTTATTTATATTTTATTATTTATTATTTATAACAAATCAGTTTTATCAATAATAATAGTAAATATAACATTTTTCAAATACACATATATCTTTAATACATATTTTTATTGTATTTGAGTTATGCCATATCTGTAGATTAATATTATTTTTCTAGTTTGAACTAGATTAAAATCAGATTTCATAATTCTTTACATTTGTACATAAAAATACTAGATTTAAAATAGTAGATAAATTTTTTACAAAATCTATTAATTTTAAATAAAATTAATGTACGAAAGTATTAAAAAAAATTATCTCTTTCTAAATAAATATTTTAATATTTTTTATTAAAATAGAAACTAATTTTTCTTTGATTACGAAACCCGTATTTTTTATAGTGACAAACTAAACCTACATATACTCACGGATACATGCTATTAGAATAGTTCAGGTTTGGATTTATTCAGCACACACTTCAGGTTTGTATGCTTCAAGTTCAGTTAGATCATTCTACCTGCATTGATCAATGTAATCGAGTTAAAGAAAGGCGAATTTATTTTTATAATTCAAATTTTTAGATTCAAAATCTCTAAATCTTTCTAAATAGATTATTAAATTCGTTTATTAGTTTATATAATAAACGATATAGTATAAGTTACCAAAAAATAAATAACAAAGTTTTAAATTACAATAAAATATCAATTAACTTTAATTTACTGAGATTATATACACTATTTTGTGTTTTTTAATAAAAATTAATTCAAAAATAATAGTTTACAATTAGATCATTTTATACAATTCATTCATCAAATCTTCAAATTTTTTTGTAAAATTTAATAATAAATATGATCAATTTTATAATTTCATTACTTTTTTTTCCTTGAATTACAACAATAGTATTATATGTATATGTTTTAGCTCTGTGAATCTATGCATATGTATACAATGACTTGCATTATAAGCATCATGTCCTAGAAATTATTGATCTATAATATATTTATTTATATTTTACAATTTTATTAAATTGATTTTTTAAAACAAATTTTGCTTTGTTATAATTAATAGAAACATAAATTTTATTTATTTAGTATGCATATTTTTTTATAATTTATTATAAATTAAATAATGATGAAATGTAATATTCAAATATGATTATTTATTTACTATAACAAGTCATTATATTTAGTTCATTTTATTGCTAAAATAAAATTTTTATAAATATAAATATAAAATTTATATAATTCTGAATATTTTTATGATGTTTTTTTGTTATTATTCAATTTTATTTAATTTAATTTTAATTTATAGAAAATTATACATTAAATAAATAAAATTTAGATTTATAATAATTAATAATGAATATATTAATATATTAAAAATCAATTTAAAAAAATTTATTATAAATAAATATATAAAGCAATAATCTCTCACACACAATGGTTTTCGAATTGATATGTATTACATATAATGTATGTAATATAATGCATTAGATTTATCCGTATTACTAGCCGGATATAATTCCCTAAATCATGCTTATCAAACAATTTTGATAATCCACAAACTTGGTAAGTTACAAGTCACGGGAATGCATTCTAATCGTGAATGTATTATACAATCGGTGACCTAGAATATTAATATTTTCTCTTTCCTTAAGTATTCTTTTGTTCTTCGCATACTGCACCTGGGTTATTTTCCTTAATTCACAGCTCACAAAAAAATACAAAAACATCACGAAGATAATAGTCCCATATTTTTTTCTTTTCTTACATTCAATTCTATTCAAAAAAGAATACGTATAACTATAATTGACGAGATAAACATACAGACTATTAGTTTATCGAATTTCAAAAATAAAAATACATCTAAAAAGATAGAGAATTTTTCCTATTTAAATTATACGTTTCAAATATAATATATTTAAAAAAAAATAATGGTGATCAATCAATGTCAAAATTAGAATAATTGAAAAAAAGAATATCTAAAATTATATTTAAGATTACAACGAATGATATTTCTTTTTAAAATATGAATTTAAAAATATATAATTCTAAAATTTTTAAATCATAAAATTATATTATAATTTATAAATTATAAATTTATAAATTAATTCTATATAAATTAATAATAATATTATGAAGAAAAATGAAATTTGTTTGAAAAAAATTATTATGTACTTAAATATATTCTTAATTTAACTAAATAAAATTTAGTTTCTAATTTAAATGATATATATACATACATGATATTCTCAAATGAACTTTTTTATTTAAGATGTATATAATAATGTTACTATTATAACGTATTTACTGTATTATAATGTAGCAAATATTTTATTCTAATATTATAACAAATAATTTTATATTTTATATAATTTGCAATTTCCATTTTTTAATGAACATTTATCACGAATGATCGCTATCACGATCAATTAATAATAATCAATTAATATTTAAATATCACCTAACCTATACATTCGAGATTACTATTTCTATTTGTATATTTATTATGATGATATATCAAGAATTGTACACGAACCTTAATTATGCTTGATCATGTTTCTACATTGGATAATAGTATTATCAAGAAAAATAACGAAGGAAGCAACAATCACCGATCAGTTGGCTAACGTTAAGGATTGCCGTTTAGCGCCAGCTTCCCCAGCGCTCGTTGAACTTTGCATGCATGCACGTCTTTACAAGCACAGATGCATCTAGATACCAGAGTATATGTAAACGTGCAAGGCATTCCACTTATCTATCTGCAGATTTCATACGGAATGTTAATAGGAATGCGCACGTGAGGACAGTATCGATAAATATCGCATTACGCCGAATATTGCGTTTCTGTCGTGTGAAATCTACGACTTGGAAAACATATTCTATGAAGGTACAAATATATACATGTATAAAACATTACTACGTAGATGTATTGGTACAGTTTCGTGATCTTAATTGTAAAGATCTAAGAGGAATTGTAATTCCAAGAATAAGGAAATTAAAATCTTTGTTGGTGATAAATTTAGTAAATAGAGCTGACAAAGTAGAACGAAAGTTAGGTTAGAATTAGGATAGATCTAATGTTGCATTATAAGAATTTAGTTTCTATCCTTGATGATACTTTCCTTTTATAAGATTATCTTCGCTTTCAATACATGTATATATAGTAGTATAATACTAATATAATAATAATGCAATACATTTGTTTTTCTTAAAATAAAAGATATTTCATTCAAAAACATATATAAAAAAAATTAAAATACGATATCGAAATGAACATAATATATAAAAAATAAAAAAATAATAATAAAAATATTGTAAACATGATTTTATTATCGAATATTTCTTACTTTCTTGATAGAATATAATATAAAATATAATACTTTATAGGAAATAAGGGATTTCCAAAAACGAAATAATATTTTTCTCTTACCGTTAAAATTTGAAAAGTTTCCAGAATTTAAACGTTGATAGTGTATGATTTAGAATACAAAAGTAACGATTACTATCAATTCTCTCTGACCGAGATCTCAAAAGACAAGGGAAGAAGCCATAACACGCAATGCAACGTTGCTACGCGGGAATACACTGTGTCCCATAGAGCACTGCGCAGAGAAACATTAAAATGGACAGATATAAAGCATCCAATTATATACCAACGGTTTTTTTGAAATCGCATACAACAAAAAGAGACATACAGCAAAGTAGATTAAGAAAGAATTATTTAAAATTACTTCGTATACAAACTGAAATACATTTTTATTTATGTATAATAAAGTAAATATTATTAAAAGAAAATAGTAAATATCTATATTAAATATCTAAATATTTATTAAATAATAAATATCTATTTTTTTTTTAATTTGATAATTATATATTGAAAAATATAACGTGTGTGTATATTATATCGTTTTTTAATAAAATAAAAACGAAATATGAAATTACAGGATAGAAAAAAAACTTGTTTTTTTATTTAGTTTTATATACTTCAGAAACAATTGTTAAAATTTTATTTTGCATGCAAAATATAATAGTTTTTTTTACGATTATTATAAAATATTCTAATTTACATGAAAATAAATATATTTTTCTTATATTTGATATATGTATTTACATTATAGACATTTATTAATATTTTTTTCTTTATCTTTCTATATTTATTATTCAAAGTCATTTAACCTGTATGACAAGTTAATTTGTTATTAAAAAGCACTTATTATTATTATTAAAGAAATGATATTTTATTTGTTTTTATTTCTCTCATATAGTTAATATATCTTTCTATATGTTTTTATTTTCTTTTATTTTTATTTATTATTTTCTAATTCCAGAAATTTTTTGACGATAAAAAAGACAGATTGGATAAAAAATTTTAAAAACATCAATATTAAATCTAAATAATCAAAATATCCATTGATATCGTCAAAATATTAATTATTCAAATTTTCATCTTCTCAAATTTCTATCAATATGTTTGTCTAAACATTCAAATATGCCCATTTTGATGCTCAATGCTATTTTACGATCTTGCAATATTACAAAAGTTACTGTACTATACCGAATACATCCACGTGTGCAGGTAAATAAAGAAAAAACGAGAAGAAAAGAGAGGGACAGATCGGCGCCGAACGTTGCGGTTGAAAGTAGTAGAGGGAGGAATACTCATGTAGAAAAGCTCGCGTATATACGCTCGCGCAGACGTATATTCGGGCAAGACGTGCTTCCAGTAGTAGTCAAGCCGCCGCGACGAGACGAGAACGCAGCGGCGGCGTCGTTCTTCTTATTTATTCCTTCATCGCCGCCGTTGCTTCGTTCCTCGTAGACGATATTCGACAGTTATACACGGCTCTGAAGGAATTTCACTGAGATATAATACATATACAAAAGATTAGCTTCTTCTAATTTTGAAATCTTTGATCGGTGAAGTTTTTGTGAAGGAAGTGATTTTGAATTTGAAAGTTGAATAAAAAATTATTTTATATCAAAAGGTTGAAATTTAGAATAGATTGTTTTAAAGTTTTAATGAGAAATAGTGAAATGTAATGAGGTTTGAAGAGTAGAGAGAATATGCCTAGTTTAAATTTTTTATTTTATTTTTGATAAAGAATTAGAGAAGAAATCATTTAAAATTATTGGAAAAATATATTTAGTAAATTGATTTGATATATATAAATTTGTAAAATTTGATTTCAATAATTTTAAACATACTTAAACGGGATATAGTGTATATGAAATAATAGGCAAAAAATTTTAAAAATCAACACATACTATTCCTAAACACATTTTTCTTAAAGTCTTTAAAAAAAAATCAAACTACAAGTAAAAAATTCATTATCTAAGACCTTAATCTAATCCAATTTACGTTAAGTTGCATGTAAATTTTCCATCAAATATTTTTTTCTTTCTCATGATCTTCATGAACATTTAATAAAATCACATAAGCCATTATTATCAAAAATGCAATAAATATACGTATAAAGTCGATAGGATTTCAAAGATCCTAATAAATTCTAATCTTCCAAGATCTTAGTTCTAATTTTAATAGTTATAGAAACAATGGATTTCTGAAGCAGAAGTGAAAGTATCGCGTGTCTAAAGATTGCTGCCATAATTTGTGCGAAGATACATTTATCCATGCAACACGTGCAAACGTGAAATGATGCAAGGAACAATTTCAATGTGAACAAGATTGATCACGTGGGTATCGCAAAATGAGGTTGATGTTAAGTGTCATTTGTTTGCTCCTGTTCATCCTGCCATCATTTTATGCGCACCAATGGCAAAATGGTAGGAACGTTGAGTGCCCTCACAAGTGTATGTGCTTCGGGACTACTGTGAGATGCATGCTTCAGAAGCTGAATCGTATACCACGGGTACCAACTAATACGACGGTCCTGTAAGTAGATGCTTCTTTGAGTCCTTTCTTATTTTTTTTCTCTTTTCATACTACTTTTAATCCCTCCGATCAATGGTTACGCCACGATTTATGGTATGCCTATCTATACGTACTATATCCCTAGGCGAATTACAGAAATCGTAGTAATCGACGAATATTCATGGTGTAGGCTGTGAATATTTCTGAACATAAATGCATGTGGGAAGTGAGGAATTACGTAGCTTGCTTATAGTCAAGTATTTTTTTTCGATTAGATATATTTATTTTATGAACTGAAGGATTTCGAAAAAGAATTTTAGAATTCTTGAAAGTTTAAAAATTTAATAATATTGATTGAATTTTATTATTTATCCACAAATATATTTCTTCTATGCGTACTTTATATATATTTTTTTTTGAGAAGTTTAGCTTTTAAGAAATTAGAAAATTTTTTTGATATTGAAAAATTTTGAAATTCTATAAATTCATAAATGTATATTATTATATTATAAGTCACATAATTAATTTCAATATGATAATTAAGAAAAATCGTGCAGCAATGAATTCATTTAAACTTCTATAATGATAAACCACTTTACTCATATAAAGGCAATAACTTTTGATCAAAGATATATACCCTTTCATGTAATTAGAGAATCGTATTTTAAACATGAATAGGATCATACATATATTGCAATAATACTTATTTCAGGTTATTTTTTTTAGATTATTTTATATATAATAACACGTTTATTATTTTTTAAAATAATCAATAAACACAAATCATTCAAATAGAGAATTCTTCAATTTTACAAACAAAATTGTTTATCATTCAATTTTCAAAAATTTCGAAAATTAACACAAAGGAAAAAATGCATAGATGTTATATATAAATATTAAAAAAATTATTTTACTTAGTAATTTTTACGTATATACTTTTTGTATATACGTTTAAATGATACACATTATGATCTCATCTTAATATTTGAATTTTTAATGATTTCATTTAAAGTCGTATTAAAATCGTATAGTTTTATACCTCAGTTTCTTTATACAACGAACAACGTATTCGAATATAGTTAAAATAGGCGTGACCATACAGCTTAAACTATATATAAGAGGTGAGAAAGCGGATGTAAATGAATATTTGAAGCTAAACGAATCCATATCATGGATGCAAATTTTTGAATGAATGTGTGTGGTCTATTCTTTCGATAAGCATGTGCATCGATTAATTTTAATTCAATCTAATTTTTATTATTAATTAAAGAATTTGTTATAAGACAAATTTTAAATTTTAAAAAACTTTTACTAATAAATTATTTCAACGAATATTATAAATTTTTAATTAAGAAATTTAATTAAGAAATTATTTTTTTGTAATTAATTTTTAATAACTTTTATTTTTTTAAAGTAGAAAGCCATAATTTTTCTAAAAAAAAAAAATTATATATAACAGAAAGAATTTAAATAAAAAAGAGGAATAAATGATCATTTTAAATTTCAGAAACATTTATTTACACATATTTACAACTTTTAATATTATCTTAATTCAATTTGTGCATTATCTTTAAAAAATAAAATATTTATTCATTTACAAAAAAGTTTATCATCGTTTCAGTATATGATATTATCTGTATATATTCTGTAGAAATGAATCTGCTTGTATACGAATTTGTATTTTCCTTTCTTCCTTCTTTCTTTTTGCAAGAAAAACAATTAATTTAGTTTTTCGTAAAAAAACAACGGATATATTTCTTTTAAAAAATGGATATATTTATTTTAAGTAAGAAAACGATAAGAATATATCTATAGATAATGTTCTTACATGTCAATATTTTACCACTTCTATCATTTCTAATCGGGTTAAGGACTTTGTTTCAATTTGTTTTTAACTGTTTTTTACTGTTTCTTTTTGCTATCTAAAACTATATTTATTAAAAGGTTGAATATAGAATGAAAAATATGAAAATTGTAAAATATTATTATTATAAATATTTATATTTTTTTTATGTTTTTATTTTTTATATTTAAAAAGTAAAAAAATAAAAAAATATATACAGAAATATAAATGTATAGAAAAATATATATAAAAATGTATATTTAAAAATAAATATATTTAAATTTTTTTTTTAATTGTTTTAATTGTTATAAATTTGATAACATGAAATTTAAATAAAAAATTTTATTTGAAAGCATCACATTGTTATATCCTAAAATATTATTTTTTGTGAAAATAAATAAAATCAAAAAAATGGATTTAAGACTTGTTAAAGAATTTGAGTTTATCAAATTCGAATAATTTTCATGAGAAATTTTGTTTTATTAAATATTTTTTCTTCTTATAATATCAAATATAAAATATATATATGTAAAAAATTATGAAATCGTTTTAAACAATTCTTTTCAACTCGTTGATAAGAATGAAAGTTTTCGGAAATAGAGAAGCGAATAAATTTCGTGAATAAATTTAGTTTTTATGTGAAATGATTAATCATAAAGCCAAGCATTAACTGCAAAAACATCAACGAGAATTGAATCTTTTAGAGAAAGTACGATAAATTGTTTGTATTGAGAGATGACTCAGAAATGAGTATACACTGCAATATTCCTATCCATAAAGAAACGTAATTAAAACATATTGCTTTTATTTAAACCGTTGTCTCTCAATTAATCCATATGACCTATTGCATAACAGAATACCATAAAATAATTTATACACTTCATATAAATATATAATTTGAAATACATTAATTTACTAATGACATAATTTTATATAAATTTAATTACTTTTTT